CTCTACTTTCACAAGGCACCGAACGGCACCGAACTGCACCACGAGTGCGTGCGCAAGGTGAGTGTGAGACAGACACACACACACACACACACACACACACACACACACACACACACACACACACACACACACACACACACACACACACACACACACACACACACACACACACACACACACACACACACGAAAGACAACCCAAGGGAGGATACCCGCGAAGATTCATTCTCCCGTGGTGTACCTTGAGCACTTGAGCACTGGATAGGTGGCGGCGCTCAACCAGTTCGACTGCCTCCGCGCCAACAAGGCGACCATGGCGCACGGCCTGGAGGTGCGCGTCCCCTTCCTCGACCGGGGCATGCTCGACGCGACCATGACGCTGGACCCGGACTTTAAGCTCACGCGCAAGGGCGAGAAGACGCAGTTCCTCGAGAAGTGGGCGCTGCGCGAGGCGTTCAACGTGCCCACCGAGCCGTTCTTGCCACACGAGGTGCTCTTCCGCCAGAAGGAGCAGTTCTCGGACGGGGTCGGCTACTCGTGGATCGACGGCCTCAAGGAGCACGCCGGCAAGGTCATCTCCGACGAGGACATGGCGACCGCGCCGATCCGCTTCCCGTGCAACACCCTAGAAGCAGAAGTACGCATCCTTGTACCCCAAACTGTACTCCGCTGTATTCACTGTAGTCTTCTCCGTGAGATTCGCCTCGGAATGCGCTGCACAATACGCGTCTTCCCGCCCTCATGTGTGCGTCTTTTTTTCGTAGGTACAACACGCCTGGCACAAAGGAGGCCGCCTACTTCCGCACCATCTTCCACTCGCACTTCCCAAACAACAACTACGGCAACGGCATCGAGGCGACCGTGCCGGGCGGCCCGTCCGTCGCTTGCTCCACCGCAAAGGCGATCGAGTGGGACGAGGCTTGGTCCGACCCGACCAAGCAGGACCAGTCGGGACGCTTCGTCGATACGCACGACGCGGCCGTCGCCTGAGGGCGGCGGAGGGTGAGAGCCCGCAGAACAGGTGTGCTACAACGCGCCGAACACGACTCGCTGTGTGACTGACTGTCTATTGCCGATATTGGCGGCCTGCTGGCGGCGTGTGCCACCGCCAAAGGAGAAGCCGGCGCCCCGCACACAGTTTGGTGACTGGAGTCTGCACAGCCCCGGGGGCAGCACGGCACGAGTTTCAAAAGCAAAAACACTCCATGTGGCATGCGGTCTTCTATCTAGTGTGTGCCCCTTTCGTTCTCAAAAAGTGTAGAGAAATCACCGGAGCGGAGCATGTTGGGCCATGGGCGGATCTAGAGCCGTAGACGGAGCACTTGGAGAGATGCGGTTCGTCCCACCTCCCCACATCCGCGTTTTGGAGGTACTGGACGATTGTGGATACTTTATCTGAAAAATCGAAAAAGAATTCTTAAGATACAAGCCTCTCTCACAGCACACCGAAAAAGAAACGCGGCTCGGCGGGGGTACTCTGCTGCAAGCGTGGCGGACGATGATCAGCTTCGACCAGCCCTTTTGTCACTGCTCCTCAGCGTCAGGAATCACGCGGACAGGCATTGTCGCGCGCATGCTTTGCCTCGTGTCGCTGCTGGCGTGTGTCATGTATCTACCCGAACGCTCAGTGGCTGTGGAGAGCGTGGCCGTGGGTGCAGCGATCAAGGCATACGTGACGGGTGGTGTTGCCGTCGGAAGAGTGCAGGCGGGCAGCGTGGCCGCCTTCCGAGGCATCCCATACGGCAACGCCGAGCGGTTCTTGCCTCCGACTCCTGCAGCCAGTTGGGTCGGCGAGCTCGACGCCTCTGCCGACGGTCCGGCGTGCCCGGGAAAGAGCCCGCCGTACGACCGCCACATGTCCGAGCAGTGCCTGTCACTCAATGTCTTCACGCCCGTCGCCGCCCTGGGCAATGCCTCCGCGCAGTTGGCCGTGCTCGTTTATCTCTACGGTGGCTCGCTGAACACGGGATCCGTCGCATCGTATGGACCGATCGAAAACTTGGTCAGCGGCAGCGAGGGGCGCGCGATGCTCGTCGTTATGAACTATCGCCTCGGTGCGCTCGGCTTTGCCGCGCTCAAGGAGCTGTCGGACGCCGACCCTCGCGGAACGAGCGGCAATCTGGGCCTCCTCGATCAGCAGCTCGCCATGCGGTGGGTCGCCGCCAATGCCGCCGCCTTTGGTGGCGACCCTCGCAAGGCGACGCTGCTGGGCCAGTCATCGGGTGGCACGTCGATCTTCGCCCACCTGGCTGCGCCCGCGAGCCGAGGCCTCTTCCATGCGGCCATCTCAATCAGCGCCTCGCCCAATCTCACCATCTCGTACGAGGAGAAGCTGCGGCAGGACGAGGAGCACTGGTTCAAGCACACGCCATGCGCCCGCGAGGCGCGCGGCGCGGCCACGCTCGCGTGCCTCCGCGCAGCAAGCGTCGAATCGCTGCAGGCGGCGCTGGAGCCGCGTTACGACTACTTTGACTTCAACCACAGCTTCGCTGCATCGGTGGTGCCGCCGCGTCGCGGCCCCGGCGGCGGCTGGTCGGCGCTCGGATGGGCGGCGATGCCATATGTCGACGGCGTGACGGTCACGCGTGGCACGATGGAGGCGGCGAAGGCGGGCTACGACGTGCCCGTGCTGCTTCAGAACTTGGAGGGCGAGCTCAATTGGCAGCCCGACCCGACCCTCGAATCCATACGCACACGCGCCGAGGCGGCCGCGCGCATTGAGGGGATGCTCGCCGCCGGATTGGGCGCGGAGGCGGCGCGGCGGCTCTACGCGATGTACGCGGGTGTCGGCGGCGACAACGACACGCTCGCTGCCGCGCCCGCCTATGCGCTCAACGCCGATACGGGGTGCACTTGCGGCCAGCTCGCGCTCGCACTCGCGGCGAGCGAAGCGCGACGCAGCGAGGGCACGGCGCCCGTGTACATCTCGCTTGTCCGCGCGCGGCCGTACCATCCGTTCGGTCCGCTGTCGGAGTCGTGCACACGCCCTGCCATCTACGCCTTCCACCTTTGGGACTTTTTCGCCGCCGTGAGCGTCGGCGCGCCCACGGCGGCAGAGCGCGCAAACTGGTACGACGCGCGGTTCGACGAGGCTTGGGTCGAAGGGAGCAAGTGTGGTCCCTACCGGCCCGCCCCCACGGACGTCAAGCTCGGCCGGGCGCTTCTCGAGCAGTGGCTCTCCTTCGCCGAGCACGCCGGCTTCCCCGACGGTGTCGGCTGGCGCGCCGTCGACGACGCGCTCGGCTGGCCGCGCCACTACACACACGGGGTGATTGATGACGCTGGGCTCACCTCGAGCGTCGTAGATCTCAAGAGCGACGCGTGCACCGCGTGGCGCGAGGCAGGTGTGGGGCCGGAGTGGTGGTGGATTAATTAAGATGCCAGAAACGCAGCCTAGCTGCCTGCGCTGTTGGGGCGGAGCGCACTCTCGTTCCTTCCCGCCCCTAGCTCGCGCTCCCGAGCGGCAGCCGGATGCTGCGCGGCAGGGTACGACTCGCTGCAGCTGATGCGCAAGTACCGCCTCTCCAACGAGTCCAAGGCCGAGATCATCCTCTGCAGGTCGCGCGTTCACAGCCGGATGAGCCTGAGCGATATGGCGTCGGCCGGCTTGCTCCGCTGGGCCGCTGCGGCCGCTACCCGCTCCTCCGCGCCTGTCGCGAAGACGAGCCGGCGCTGCGCCTTCCGTCGCGCGCAGCTGCCAACCGGACGCGTCCCTGCCTCGCTTTGGGTACGTGAGGGATGAGCGCGTGCTCTCGCACTTGCCGCGAACACGGATGTGTGAGGACCGGCTGTGGGTCGATTTGCTGCCAGTCTCGATGCAGGCCACCCTGCCGCCACAGCAATCCGACGCCTTTCTGGCGCGGCTGAGACGGCAGGGACTCGCCTGAGTACGGTGAAATGTGAAAGTACACAGAGTTTCGAGAGCGACATATGTCTGGCTCGCTGGGTGCGCTTCTTAGCTCCCCGGCCCTCTGGGATGTGAGGCTACCGACTGCACTCCAAGTGCTCCAAGTGCATATACGATGGTGCGTCGCTCCGATCGACTTTTTACGAGTTTCTACTTCAAGCAAGCCTACCACTACACTTTTCGCCTCCTACAGTTACACCCTCACACTGCCTGACCTACACATCTATATACACGTCGATGACGTGCACGTGTGCGAGCGCGTCCGTCACCGCTCTCTTCGTAATGTAACCCGGTTGGAAACGTGCTCCCTGGTCCGTTTGAGACTGTCGAACCGCGGCCGCGCACGCCGTCCATACACGGAGACGGCAAAGGCCACGCACCAGAGCCCGAGGCCGATCGCGTTTGCCAGGAAGAGATCGCTGTGGACGCCCGCGTCGGGGTGCTCCTCCTTCGGGCAGTCGGCGCCACTGCACACCGAGAGGGTGAGAAGCGGCAGGAGGATGCACACAAGCAGGAAGGAGGGAACCAGGAACCGGATGGCGAAGAGGTCCTGCATGTCGTCCTCGGGGTGGCCCGTGAGCTCCTCGCACGCCATGAAGACCGAAGCGAGCCACGTCGAGAGTCCTGGCCAGTTCCGCTCCGCCCAGGCGGAAGGGCTGCAGGTGGCACGGGGAGGCCGCACTACCGGCAGGGCAGGCTGGCTCGCTGCGAACGCGTCCTGCTTGGCGCTATGGCCGAAGCGGCGTCCGGCGCAGATGGTTGTGAGGAAGGCTGCAGCCTGGTAGGCGGTACAGACGATGAAGAAGTAGGAGAGCCACGTTTTTACCTTCGACACAACCCCCTCAGTCATCAGCACGACCGTGGCGAGGACCGTCGTGATGGCGAGGCCAGCGCGGTCCATGTTGCCGCTCTCCTGGCAGGGCGAGAGGACACCGAGGTAGGTGGCACGGGGGGGGGGGGGGACCCACGGGGGCCGCACGGGGGAGGGAGGCAAAAGCACGGGGGCGGCACGGGGGAGGGAGGTAAAAGCGGCGCGAGGGACCTCTGGGATCCAGAATTGCAGCATCGAGAGGATCACGAGCAGCCAAGCCATCATCACATAGGATGTGATAACGTACGATGGTTCGCGCGTGATCCGGAAGGTGTAGCTGAGCTGCTTCTGCTCAAACCTCGGTCGCGACCGAACGCTGATCCCCTTGGAGACGCCGCAGACCCTCTCATCAGAGCCGCAGACCCGTTCAATGCCGCAGACCGACGCGGCGCACAACCGTTCAATGGGCAAGAAGCCCTCTGGCTGTGCAATGATCGTGAAGCCCACTGGAGCGGGTATCCGCGCCTCTCCGTATCCATGGAGATCAAGCTTGGTGCTTCGAGCAACGGTGGTGATGTTGATGTAGCATCTATGAATGTCAAAGGGGTACCTGCGAGCGGGTGGGAGAGGCGGGTGAGCGGCGGTGGCGGGGGTGGGAGGGTGGGCCAAAGCGAGAGACGAGCGCACGGCTCTATGTGCATTTTGCAGTCGAACTCGCCCGTTATTTTCCGCGACCAAAAGACCGTGCCATCATTGCGCATGGTCACTAGAGTCTCCCCGCCGTCCCGCTCCACCGTCTCGGAGAGGTGGTTCAGCACATACAGGTCGGGCGTCCAAACTCTTGCCTTGCTTACCTGGATGTCGCCGCTGTATTGACCTCGAGTCCACGTGAGCCGCGCGTCGTACCACGACATGTCCAGCCAAAAGGTGGCCTGGAATGTGTTGGCTGGGACGTCGATTTGCTGCACAACCAGCTGGTCTATGCCCACGTAGACTGTCGTCGGGGCTAAGATTAAGGAACCTATGCCCCCCTCTCTGGCGTCGCCAGGTTGGAGAGCCAACAGACCAGCAGCGGCGTCGTCCTCCAGTGGCGCAGGCAGCGGGCGCACCTCGGGGTTGTACGCACTGCTGAGCATGGTGCTGATGATGTGGCCCTCGGCGTCGGAGGGAATAAGTAGTGAGGAGGATTGGAGAGTGACACCCATCATGCTCGGTATGGCTGCCTGTACGTCTGCCGTCGTCATCCAGCCAAGGTGAGAGGCCTGCTCCATCGTGCTCGCCATCGTCCGCCATACGCCCTGATTTGGTCTGGTAAGGAGCTCGTCCGCGGTGGCGAAGACCCGGTCCTCGGCGAGGTAGGGAGCCAGTTCGGCCTTGTAGCCAAAGCTGGAGACAAACAGGCCCTGCGCTGCTCCTGCACTTAGCCGCTTGTCTGCTGCCTTCACTGCTCCGATGGCAAAGTGGTTTGTCGCAGTGAGCACCGCCGAGATGGTCTCGTCGGCGAGAAAAGTTGACTCCATGTACATCATCGCCGTGTGCTCGTGCCAGTTGCTAAGCCGCTCTGATGCCACCATCACGACTTTAGAGTCAGGACAGTCGGCCTCGAAGCCGCGAATGGCCATGCTGATGCGGCCGTCAAAGGCGGGATCGGGAGCATACATTGCCGCCACCCTCAGTGGTCTCTGGGTGGCGCTGCCCCAGCGGCGGCAGAGTTCGGACCCGACGTTTGCGGCGCCATCAAGTTGGTTAGTCATGAATGCCAGCATAAAGTGCTGACTCGAGTTGACCTGCGCCTCCAACTCCGCGCTCTGGTGGCCAAAGAAGAAGATGGCTACGCCTTCCCTCGCAGCGCGCCCAATGGCTTCGATTCCGGCGGGTGGGAGTGGGGAACTAGCCACGATGGCCATTCGCCCTGCAGGCGGTCTAGAAGTCGCTGACTGATGGGCGCGTTCGATGATGGGATCGACGATGGCGTTGTAGTACTCTGCTGTGGTGTCACTTACTCTGCTATGCGTGCAGGTAAAGGAGGTGGAGTGTGGGAAGGTGGCGTTCACCGCCTCGGCGATCGGAAAGTCTTCTTCGTCGCGCTGGTCCACGCTGCCCGGGAACGCATAGGGCGCGGCGAAGGCACCTCTCGGCCCGCAGGGGAAGATGATGTGCACCTCTGCAATCTGCGTGCCAGTGACCTCGTCCGTCTCGGCCCAGGCCAGCGAGGGCAGCAATGCCAGCAGCAGCATTCTCGCGCTCCATCTCGTTGTGGATGTTGTCGTAGCCAGCAAGGGCAGGGATGCTAGCAGCAGGCTAAGCAGGCTAATCGCCCGCTGGCAAGCGAGCCGCATGACGCGCGCGCCGGGTGGACGTCCACACGCGATACACAATTACCGCCACGCAAAAGAAGAAAACGGATCGCCGCGAACGGCCTGCCAGTCGAGCCCGTTGCTGTGAGAGCACTTGGAGCACTTGGAGTGCAGTTGGCAGCCTCACATCCAGGGCCGGGGAGCTCAGAAGCGCACCCAGCGGGCCGGATGATCGGGATCGGGCTACGATCTGCAGCGAGTTCTTTTCTTTAAATTCTTCTCTCGCGCGAAATGTATATGTCTTTCGCCTGGACGCTCGTAGTGGCGCTCAGCGTGCCTCAGCAGCCGAACGCGGCGCTGCCTCTCGCTGGCAAGCGCATCGCCTTCACGTCTCCACGCGCGGTCGCCGCTCCGTTCTCGGCCGAGCTCATCTCCGCCGGCGCGAGGCCGGTCTGGTGGCCGCTGGTTGAAGCGGTGCGGCAGCCGCCTCCGACACCGCCGCGGCTCGCCGGCTCACAACCACGCACCACTGCTGCACCCTCCGGCGCAGGTCCCGCTGCCGGAGTCAGAACTCGGCCCGCTTGACGACCTCATCATGCGCATGCCAGAGTCCTGCGCCGTCGCGCTGCTCTCACGCCACGCGGCCGACGCGTTTGTCGAGCGCGGTGCGCGCATCTCGGATGGCGACGCGGAGCTCTTTGCGGCGATGGTCGCCGCGTCCGGAGCGCAGCTCGCTGCCTGCGGCGGCGCGGCGGCGCGGCTGCGCGAACTCGGGCTGGCGCCCAGCCTGGTGCCTCTCGTCTCGACGGCCGACGGCCTCGCTGCCGCCATATGCCACCTCGGCCTCGCTGCGGGCGGCAGGCGGCTGCGCGTCGTTTGTTCGCGCGTGGACGAGGCGCTGCTCCGAGGTCAGCCGAGATTCGCCGAGATTAGCTGAGGCCAGCCGAGGTCAGTCGAGATTCGCCGAGATTCGATGAGATTCGACGAGATTCGCCGAGGATGGCCCAGGTTAGCCGAGAGTAGCGGAGGGGCTGCTCCGGTGCTATGAGTTGGTCATGCGTGCACGGGGGGGCGGAGGCGAGATCTCGGGTAATCTCGGGCTCATCTCGGGCTCATCTCGGCAGGCAAGGAGGCCGAAGAGGAGGCGCTTGTTGCGGCGCTCCTCGCTGCGGGCGCGGACGCGGATGCGGTCGACGCGTGTGCGATCAGGCCGCTCCTCGCCTCCGGCCACGAGCTCTCGCTGCTGCGGGAAGGCGGTCTGGACGCAGTGTGTGTCGGGTCTGCCGAGGAGGCGAACGCGCTCGCTGCGGCGCTGGAGGCGGCAGAGGGCGCTGTCAGCAACGGCACCGCCGCCGCCCTCCTCTCTCACCCAGCACACACACGTGTGCAGCCGCGCCCCTCCGCGCCGTGATTTCTTTTTTGTGACTCGGGCGCGGCCCGGGGAGGTGTGAGCCGCTCACAAGAGCGACGAGTGAGTCAGGCGTCGCTCCTCTGCCCCTTCGACACGCTCCACGAGCAGCATCTCTTCACAGTTGCAGCCGTGAACAGGCGCTCTGCCATACGGGACGCGGCTGGTGGCGGCGGGCGCGGCGGCGCGGGAGGGGTGCGCCGCCGCGGGGCTGCAGGTGCGATCTCGGCGAATCTCGGCGAATCTCGGCGGGGTTTCGATCTCGTTGGGAGGGTGTCTGCCAAGATCAGCGAATCGAGATCAGCGAGTACTTGTCAGCGGAGCTCGGCTGGTCGACCATCTCGGCTGATCTCGCCTATCTCGGCTGATCTCGCCTATCTCGGCTGATCTCGCCTATCTCGGCTGATCTCGCCTATCTCGGCTGATCTCGCCCGCAGGTGGACGTCGAGTCGCGCGCAGAGGCGGAGGAGGCGGCGGCGCTGGCGAAGGCGGTGGCGGATGCGCTGGTGGAACGGAGGCTGGTGTGGTGAGGAAGGAAAGTTCTCCAAACGAGCGGTGAGGCGCCTTGTCTGTTTAGCTGGTAGCGTCAGTGTTCCGTCTTCTCATCACCCTGCTCAGACCCACAGGCCGCCTACGGCCTAGGCTTCTCTGTGCTCACTGCGCGCGCGGATATCTCTTCGTGCTCTACCTACTGTGCCTGATCCTGTCGCGCGCCGCCGTTTTCGCGCAAAACGCTCGGGGTGACGGCTCTTTTACACGTGTGAGACTGTGTCTGTGAGTATAAATGTGTATCGCGCGCCTTCGTGCGCGGTGCGGGGGGGGCGCGGAAAAAAGGACCCTCTTAGCGCCATCGCCATGGTGCTGCAAGCACACGAAGCAGCGCGCCGGGCGCGCCGCGGGCGACGACGACTCCCCCCCCCCCCCCCCTGGGGGCCTCTACGGCTTTAGTCAGCCACAGCATCGAGGTGCTGCAGCGCCAGCGGGCCGCAGCACGCTCGCAGCAGCCTGTGCTTCAAGCGGGCCCGGACCTGCTTCGAGCGGGCGCCCCCTGGTCCCTGCTTCGAACGGGCGCCCCCTGCTTCGAGCGGGCGCCGGGGGCGGGTTCCCCTGGGGCAGATGCGGCGGGGGATTCCTTTTCTGAATGAAATGTCTGCCTCCAATGGGGAAACAATTAACCTGATCTCAGACTCACTCGTTACGAAAGATCGCCACCGCCGCGTACTCTCTCTCTCACTCCACCGCCAAGATGCAAGGTCAAAGATTTCTTACTCTAAAGTAGCGCAAATTACCTTCTTTTGGTATGTCTCTTTCTCTCTCTTGGTCAAAATAAAAGTTCTACGCTGTCACTTGTAGTGAGCGTCGGGCTGGTGGTTCGACACCGAGTTTGAAAGATCTGTTTACGTCTCTCTTCACAGGACTGAGGAGACCCAACGCTGTCTGTTGTGCCGCTTCTAAAACAGAGAGAGAGTTGTGGACGAGTTTTATTTCCCATTTTGCATTTACTTCCAAATCGAGTCAGACAGAGCGCCACCCTCGTTCGTGAGTGCTAAGCCCACTCTCAAGAGGGTGAGGGAAGAGTGGTGATGGGGTCACTCCCGCGAAACCCGGGGGCAGTCGGAGAAGTTGCGCCGGCACCCTGGACCCCCCAGCGTGGGTCGCGCCCCTCAATTTCAAAAAGTTGCAACCCTGCACTGACGACGGTCGGCCGTCAGAATTTTACGACAGAAACACACGCCAGCGTAGGTGTCAGCCCGCCAATCCTCGAGAACCTGAGAACCTCCCGTTGGGCAGTTCGTCGACTTGGCGCAGGTGGGCCCCGGTCATGGTGCTAGGTGCGACGTTATCGTCCGATGCTCGATCCACTTGATCTTCTGCCCCGAATAGACCCCGCGACGGCGAAGATATGGTTTGCGCACGTGCACAAGGCGTCGGGCACCTCGTTTTCGAAGCAGTTGTGCGACATCACGCCCGCACCGTGCGAACCCGTGTCCTGCTGCCAGACCAGGGACACAGACCTCCGGCGCGTCCAAGACTGGTGGTTCTTTCCCAACGCCTCGTGCACATTCCAGACAAATGAGGACCACGTGGCGAGCATTGTCGCCCGCGTGCGTCGCAATCGCACCAAACACAGCGACGAGCCGAGACTGGTGTCCCTGTACCGGGACCCGTTGGGAATTTGCCGTTCCGACTGGGCCTATGTGCACCGACTGTGTAGCAGCTTTGCGGGAAGGCTTGTGCGAGAACTCTCGGCATACGACGCGCGGCGCTTGCAGTCCCTTGCCCACGCGCGGGGTCGAGAACTAGATACGCGCAGCTTCTGCGCGTGGGCCATGCCGCGCTACCCCGACACACCGCTCGGGCAGCTTGCGTTTGCGCGAGAAAAGGCCAACGGCATGCTGTCGTTGTCAAGGGGGTTTGCACAGGAATTGAAGCTTTACTCGGCGCCAGAGGCCTTTCGGTGGATTCAGAACAATGTGAATTTCTGGGGGGTCTCGGAGCTCTACACGGTCTCGGTCTGCCTCCTGTGGTTCCAAACAGGTCTCCTCGATAAGTTCAAGTCGACGTGCTCCTGTCAACCTCCAAACAGGACCGTCACCGCCTTCCACATGTTGAACACGGCGCCAAAAGATGCGGCGAAGGAGGCCGCGTCACCATTCAACATCAGCCACGCCGAGCTGGAGCGGCTCTTCGCCACCGACCTCGCGCTTTACCGGCTTCTTCGAACGGAGTTTGAGCGGCGAGTGCGTCTAGTGGAGGCCCATACAGGAGTCATGTTCTGGTGCCCGACTTGAGGCCGGAACGTGGAAAGAAAGAAAGAAAGAAGGGACGATGGGAGGACGGCACGGCTCATGAATTCTTTTTGAAAGAAAAGAAGAAAGAAAACAGACAACCCAAGGGAGGGATGGGAGGACGGCACGCCGCCACCACACAGGGATTTTAAGGAGAGGTGTGTGGTGCGCTAGCCGTCGCCCACCCTAGGGAGTCTGCCTCTTCCTATCTCTCTTCGCAGTCTCTCTCCGATTCTCGCTGCAACCTTCATGCCACCTCGCGGTCGTCCCACTCTCGTCGTTCTCTCCCTTGTCATTTCCTCCTCTGTCGCGTCGTTCCCTTCTGCCTCGTCCTGTGACGCCGCCTTTTGAGCTTAGCCTTCGAGCATGAAAAATTCTTTTTACATCGGAAGCAAGTCGAAGTCCGTTGCGTAACATCCATCCTTCGGAGCATCATGCTCTCGCTGATCTCTCTCCCCAGCTCGCTCGTTCTCACCTCCACGACGCACGCGCCCGTCGTTCGCGCGCGTGCGGCACCAGCGATGATTGGAGAGGGGCCGCAGGTGCATGCTCGCGTTGCCAGTCTCTCCCGCCCCGCCGCTTTTGCATCTTTCGCCTCGCTCCACAGGGCTATGCGCCGAACATCGTCCCCGAGAACTTCCAGGGCACGGTCGTTCCGACCCAGCCGTACGGGTGAGCGGCTGGAATCTCACTCGCCGCACACTGCCCTCGCCGCCTGAAGCCTCGGCCCATCTGACCGCACCAGGCTACCGATGATCGCCGGGCGGTCCATTGAGGACGTCTATGCGGCTCAGCAGAAGACGCGTGACAAGGACGACATTTACGACCCGAAGTGCAAGGCGGACGGTAAGGCGCACCGGACCGCAGTCGTGACCACCGGATGGGGCGAGATGGAGTGACCGGGCTCGCGGCGGGACCGGAATCCAACTTGTGAGAGATATTGCAGATGTGTCGGATGTGCCGTGGGATGGATATGCGCTGGCGTACGTATCTTTGCTGTGTATCAATAAACAAATACAGGTACCGCGAGTCAGAGGTGTGAGTGTGTGCGCGTACTGGATCACTGCAGATCGCCCCTCTACCTCTGCCCCGTACTGGATTACTGCAACGCCCCTCTGCCTCTGCCCCCGCCTCCCTTTACTTGCTTCCAAAGACCGCCCAGCACTCGGCGTCCTCCGGCCCGCCTCCGTTCTTGACGTTGGTGAAGCCGTTCGCCTCCAGGTATTCCTTCGCCTTTTGGCCACGCCCGCCGCCGCCGCAGTGCGAGATGATCGGGGTCGCCTTGTCCTTGCCGTCCAGCGGCGAGAGGTCCATCGACGCGGTGGCGCGGTCGAAGACGATGTTGACCGCAGCCTTGCGGCTAGGGTCTCCGATCTTTGCGGTCTTGTTTGTCTCGCCGTCGCCCGGCTCCTTCTCAAAGTCCGGGTTGCGGACGTCGACAACGACCAGATCACCGCCCGCCTGTTCGACAAAGCTGGCCAGCTCCTCCGGAGGGCTCACACCCGGTTTGCGGCCCATGATGGCAAAGGAGCGGGAGAGCGGCGAGTGCGACGCGGCGGCGCGGGAGAGCGGAGCGGAGAGCGGAGCGCCGGCACGGAAGGCTGGGAAGAGCACGGTGAAGCCGAGCATTCACTGCGGTGGGGGAGGTGACGGGTGAGGAAGGGACAGGGTCAGGGACAGATCGTGCTAGCTTTATATTATACCAAAAGCTAGGCCCAACGCCCTCTAGGGCCGCGGCTTACATGGAGGGTCGGAAACGAGAAAAACGGCGAGGTAGTTTGTCTGGTCGCAGTGGCGTGTATGGCGCCGCAGGGGACACGCTTCTCAAAAACTGACGCGGCCAAAGACCAAAGCCCTCTAGACAGAGAGCTGCTCTATCTCCGCCTCGAGCTGCTGAATGGTGAGCTGGCTGTCCGCGTCCGCTCTGTCCGTGAGATCAACCTCTGTCTCGCGTCTGCCAAGCCAACGTTGTGCTGCCGTGGCCTCGGGGCCGCAGGGACGGTGGGTGGCGCTCTCTTGCGCGCGTCGGACGCGAAGGACTGAGACAAGCAGACGCCTGAGTGTCGACTGCTGCTCGTCCTGGCGCTGCGCCTCAGCACGGTGGAGCTGTCGCTTGAACCAGCGCATGAGAACGCAAGGCACCACCACGGCTAGCAGCACCCCACTCGCCGCAAGCGCGATGAGGATGCTACGCTCTTGCGCTGCCGCCGGCGAGGTCGACAGTAGTGACGGAGGAGAGGGTGCGGGAGGAGAGGGCGGTGATGCTGCTGGCGGCCAG